TTTTGCTGTAATTGACTAATGGTGGGAGAAATGGAGCTGGAATCATGGGGGTTTTGGTCAATGGAGGATAGTTATGCTGGTGGTGAAGTCTAGAGGGGCCAACGATGCCGGGAATAGGCCAAATCAGGCCTGAGATGGTGATGCACGTGGTTGGCAACAAAACGCGAAAATGGCCAAAAACCGATCAATAAGGCAAGGAGACTAAACAAATAGGGCAAGGGTTAAAATTTTCGTCAATTTTGGAGTGAAAACCGTCATAAATCAATGCAAAAATTGTTTAGCCTTCAACTGTTAAAAGAAAAAAAACGATGTTAATTTAAGGATGAAATCTGGAATTTATGAAACTAGGGGTGGGAACTTGCTATTTTGCTAAACCTTGGGTGGAAACAGTAGTTTGCTCTTAGTGGAAAGACAGAGTGGATTAGGGACCTAAAAAGCCGTAGATTAAGGCATTAAACTTAAATTAATACACGTTTGAGAAGATCCTATCTAAAATCAGGATAATAAATCTTCTAAGAATCAGTTTCCAAGATGGTATCACGGTCTAAACCAGAATATATAAATAAATAAATAAAGCTCTCACTAAATTCAAGAAAGTGATATGCCAATCCGAAAGCATATGTTCATTTACAGTGGGCTCAATCTGTGCCACACTGGGAGACATTGGTTTTGCTTTTTGTGTGTTGAAAAATTACAATGTCTAAACTTTAATTAATCATGTTCTTTATTAATAACATTTGGATCTTCCAGTAAATTCCAAATGTTTTTCCATAACACAGGCATGTTTTTTCTAATTAAGAATTGAGAATATAGTTGTCACTGGTTTGGACCGGGTCGACCCACCCAGATTAGTCCTGTACAACTGGGTTATGGAGTGAGAGTTGAGAAGATACCATCTGTCAGCATATGGTGTGGCCTACAAGTGGGGAAAACTAACAAGGACAAGACACCACTTTGTGAAGCTGGGTGCTGGCTGTTGACAGTTGAATGTTTTTGGCCAATATATTGTGGTAGTTGATCAACAAAGATGATAATTATAATCAGGTGTTATTTAGGACTTAAATTAATCAAGCCCTTTTTTATTTCTCAGGCGCAGACATCCATAGCATGAATTGAGAAGGTAGTGACCAAGGTAGGTTACCTAACAAGAACCTTCTCCATTAAATAGAATTTAGCTAAAAACTCAATTGTGGGACCAAAAAGTACTCTGTAAACCATCCATTTCTGCTTTTCCTCTTGATACTGCTTTTGGGTTCTTTCTTGAAACTGCTTTTGAATTTACCTGTGCATTTTTCCTGTTTGTAAAAGTTTTCGTTCAGCCCTTCACGGCAATCTTTTCTGAGCCATATTGATCCAAACAGCGGTGGACCAGGAGTTTTAACCAGGGAAGCCTCTGTGGTTACGTTATTGTTTGTCAAATAATTAATAAAAATTTTAAAAAAATTATCAAAATTTTAAAAAAATTAATACAATATCAATAATTTTAAAAAAATAATATAATAACACAATACTTTACTACTTGAATAAATCTATAAAAAGTAAAACTTTGAGCAAATTATGTTAAAAATAACATTTAATTCACGAAGAAACACAAGAAAAATTTTACATGGAAAATTTTTTTCAATTAAAGAGAGCAAAAGACCACAGGAATCTAATGATCCACTTAAATCTAATATAATTAAAAATGTTTACAACAATCATAATCAATAAAAAATATTCTGTGCAAATTTCTTATTTCTCCTCTTTTTTTTTTAATTTTTTTAATTTTTAACTTTCAAAGATTATAATATAAATTTTCATGACTTTGATCAAACCTAACATAAGCTAAAGTTAATCAAAACTTAAATTAAGTCAACGTTGCCTTGACTTATAATATAAATTAATAAAAAAAGGAAAAATTTTCTTAATATAAATATAGATAATAACTCAAACTTCTTAAATTAAGTCAACGTTGTCTTGATTAGTGAAAGCTTCAACAATTTCGATCTTCAAAAGTTTTAAGAATAAATAATGAGAGAATAAAGAATTTTAACGATAAAATCATCAAAAACAGGTGGATGTAGACAAAAATTGAGAGAGTTTTAAACTTTTAATACGGTGAAGGTCCAAAATATATATATTAATAATAAGTTTATATATATATATATATATATTTTTTTTTTAATATGAAGGTATGCTTGGATGAATATATTAATAGAATTTTTTTACTAATCAGAATCAAATAAATCTGCTATTGAATATAACTATTCTAAAACAAGAATACTTAAAACAGGAAATAAATCAAACTCGATTCTAGGACGCATGCCACGGCAACCATTTCCTTCGCCGCAACAGTCGCACTCTTGTCTACATTTGTTGATGCTCGGTTTACGCACCAACGAATTCTCACGTGACTAACGCTGATTGGCTGTTAAATACACGTGAAAATGGAGTATAGAAAGCGAAATAAATGCAAAGGGAGTTTTTTAAGTGGTTCGGATGCTAAGGTAACANTTTTTCTAATTAAGAATTGAGAATATAGTTGTCACTGGTTTGGACCGGGTCGACCCACCCAGATTAGTCCTGTACAACTGGGTTATGGAGTGAGAGTTGAGAAGATACCATCTGTCAGCATATGGTGTGGCCTACAAGTGGGGAAAACTAACAAGAACAAGACACCAGTTTGTGAAGCTGGGTGCTGGCTGTTGACAGTTGAATGTTTTTGGCCAATATATTGTGGTAGTTGATCAACAAAGATGATAATTATAATCAGGTGTTATTTAGGACTTAAATTAATCAAGCCCTTTTTTATTTCTCAGGCGCAGACATCCATAGCATGAATTGAGAAGGTAGTGACCAAGGTAGGTTACCTAGAAGGAACCTTCTCCATTAAATAGAATTTAGCTAAAAACTCAATTGTGGGAGCAAAAAGTACTCTGTAAACCATCCATTTCTGCTTTTCCCCTTGATGCTGCTTTTGGGTTCTTCCTTGAAACTGCTTTCGAATTTACCTGTGCATTTTTCCTGTTTGTAAAAGTTTTCGTTCAGCCCTTCACGGCAATCTTTTCTGAGCCATATTGATCCAAACAGTAGTGGGCCCAAGATTTTTACTTAGAGTAGCCTCCGTGGTTCCGCTATTGTTTGTCAAACAACTAGTGAAAATTTTAAAAAAATCACAAAACTTTAAGCAAAGGAAATAATACCATATCAATAATCTAAAAGAAAATAATGCAATAACACAATACTTTACTACTTGAATAAATATATGGGAAGTAAAACTTTGAGCAAATTATGTTGAAAATAACATTCAATTCACGAGGAAACACAAGAACAGTTTTACGTGGAAAAACTTTTTCAATTAAAGAGAGTAAAAGACCACGTTAATCTAACGATCCACTTAAATCTAATATAATTAAAAAAGTTTACAACAATCATAATCCACAAAAAATGTTCCGTACAAATTTCTTATTTCTCCTCTTTTTTTTTTTTTAATTTTTGGCTTTCAAATATTATAATTTAAATTTTCATGACTTTGATCAGACCTAGCCTAAGTTAAAGTCAATCAAAACTTAAATTAAGCCAACGTTACCTTGACTTGTAATATAAATTAATAAAAAAAAGAAAAATTTTCTTAGTATAAATATAAATAATAACTCAAACTTCTTAAATTAAGTCAACGTTGCCTTGACTAGTGAAAGCTTCAACAATTTCAGTCTTCAAAAGTTTTAAGAATAAATAACATAGAGAAAGTGAATGAGAGAATGAGAGAGTAAAGAATTTTAGAAATAAAATCATCAAAAACGGGTAGATGTAGACAAAAATTGGAGAGTTTTAAATTTTTAATATGGTGAATGTCTGAAATATATATATTAATAATAAGTTTTCTAATGAGTTTGGATATTTGTATTATATATATTTTTTTTTTTTAATATGAAGGTAGGCTTGGATAAATATATTAATAGGATTTTTTGACGGCCTATATAAACAATTTTTATTTTAAAATGTGAGGGTAGGGTAGGGCTGGGTCCGCCCCTGGATCCAAACTACCCAAGCTTGAATTGCTGTCACAGTGACCTGTTGGAATTGGGAGCACTAAACCAAACAATTTTGCTAAGAAAACTATGAACTCTCATATTTTATTCATAACTTGTAACTCCTTTTATACAACAAGAAAATAACTTCTACTCCTACTCTAATATGAAAGGAAAAACGAAATTTACTTGCCTAATCAGACTCAAATAAATCTGCTATTGAATATAACTATTCTAAAACAAGAATACTTAAAACAGGAAAGTAAATCAAACTCGAATCTAGGACGCATGCCACGGCAACCATTTCCTTCGCCACAACAGTCGCACTCTTGTCTACATTCAGTGCTACTTCTTAGCACTCGCCACGGTGATAATTTCTATCGCCGCAGCGACCGGCCTCTACTCCAGCGCACGTCGCGGCAATAGTTCCTATCGCTACAACGACCGGGCGGCCATCTTCCTTCAACGTTTCGCTGCGACTTTCTTTTCTTCCATTGTTAAGTTCAAGCTCACCAAAATGGGTTCACACTTCAACAGACCTAAATGGGGTTACAGCGGAGTGACAATTTTTTTTTTTTTTTTCCTGCAATGGACCACTTGGTATAATTTAATATTACACATGGGTGACAACCACAATACCTCTACCTCAACTCTCAATAAAGGGCAATGGTCTTGTAATATTTGTGAAATGCTGGTTTTTCTGAAAATTAGATCAATCAGAATACACCACTTAATTTATATCTCTAAGATAATGTTTCAAACACGTAAATGTAGTTAATATTTTCTTAAAGGAAGGGAGAGTAATCACATTTGGTCACCAGTCACCACACACCATTAATGGTTTAAGATTGAGTAGTAATGAGTGTTACTTTGATATATATCCCAGAAAAAGACTTAAAGTAATGAGTCTCTACTTTATTTAGTTCTATGATCATTGCATCAAAGAAAAAGAAAGCAACGTAAGATTGAAGTTTGTAGGCAAAACCAATCACTTTCTTTTTGGAAAGTCCAAAGTGACCAAATATTGTATGCATTTCTGGCATTTCTGCTACAACCCAACTCATAAAATTTGATATTTTTTTTAACCTACTGCCATCGCCGAGGAGAGTTTCCAGCGACACTTACAAGAGTTTCTGTCTTTTGCTCTTCTTGTTAACTTGCATTTAGATTATAAATCTTGTGTTTTTTCTCAGCGTCTCACTGGCTAAGTTAAAAGACTACGTTATGGCGGAGGAGGGTTCTAAAAAAGCTGAAGCAGAGACTGAACCAGGGCCATCTTCTGTGGTCAAACCACCTGAAGAGGAGCATGCTCCTGTTAAAGAGAAGGAAGAACCACTTCATGAAGACCCCGCCAAGGAGAAGTTTCTGAACCCAGTTGATCAAAGTATGGCCTTCCCTCTTTTCTCTGCTTGGTTCCTAAGAAAACTAAGGGCTAGAGGAAAAGACAATTTTTATCCATATGATTTGTTTCGTTCTTCAAATGCAGGATAGGGTTTAATTCATAATTGTATAGCTTAATTATAAATTGAGATGGTTCGGTTAGTTTCCACTTTGCAGAACATCTCATGTTTTCTTTCATTTGATATTTATATAACTGTGATTATGCTTACTAAAACTGTAATTAAGTTAATCAGAATTTTAATAATCTTCTTGATATTTGTACGTTAAAACAATTTGGAATATTCTTTGGCCTAATGGTGTCTTATAATTCTTGAGGGTTTATTCTGTTTTGATAAATTTTGTTTATGTAATTTTACTGTGCTTGTATATTAATAGCATAAGTTGACCCCTTCAGCAGAGATTTTACAGGAAAGAGTCCTTTTACCGTGAATTGATTTGAAAAGAAAAAAACTTTCATTCTAAAAACTGATGAACCAGATTATGGAGAAACAAAATTATGTAACTGGTATGAAGTTCGCTTCTAATCTAACCTGGTTGAACTTTGATGTAACAGAGGTTGCAGATCCTGTCGCTGAGGAAAAATCTGGGGATCCGGTTGGCAGAGGTATATTTGTGGTGATATTTTGTTGGTATGTTCACTTGGTAATTAATAAATAATATATTTTTTACATTATTATTTCAGATGCTGTACTTGCACGAGTTGAATCCGAAAAAAGATTGGCTTTAGTAAAAGCATGGGAAGACAATGAAAAGGCAAAAGCTGATAACAGGTAATTATAAGTAGGCTGTCCCCTAAACATATAAATATCCATATTTTCTCTTAATTAATTTTGTGTTTTGATGTAAATGGCTAGTTATGGGGGCCTAATAATGGATATTCCTGAAAAACTCCCACCAGAAAATCCTCGCATCTATGTTGTCTTGCCTTTAAGGATTTGAGTTTGAGTAAAGGACTTTTTCCAACCCAAATAATGGCTTAATGACTTTATCTCACCCGGAGACTTTTAAAATATTATTTTACTATTTAAATTTATATTCGGTTTCCAATTCCGACATCATTGCAATCTCACACTACCAGTATTCTCTTCCTCAATTATCACTCATTAAAACCTCTCAAACCCTAATCATGTCGACCCTACCAATCGCTGACAATCGAGCGACTAAGGTTTGCACAACCATCCCTCCCAAGTCAAATTCCAATCAATCCCAACCACCAGAATCCAAACATTTCACCACCAAAAGACTCATTGACATCCTCCTTCAAAAGCCCTAATACTTTGGACTGAGTTTGCTTTTTTATCATCGCTGGAGTATAAATTTAGTTAATAAAATAGTATTTTAAAAATTTATAGGTAGGAAAGTGTCATTAAGCCATTATTTGAGTAGGAAAAAGTCATTAACTCTTTTGAGTTTAGATAGACTTCTAAAGAAATTGCAAAACATATTTGGTTGAGTACTTTCACCTGCATCAATGAGATACAATTTACCATTGAAGTTGAACTCATGTATTGTACTATATCTATGCTACACCACCCATTCCATTAACGACTACATCCGGATTCCAGACAGTGTAAATCGTTTATTTACTGTATATAGTGACCAAAAGTTTCTCTGCATATCCCTTTATCTTGGGAGTTCCAATAGTATCAGAAGTCCAAATCTAAAATCTGGTACCCAATTATTTCTAGTCCCATCTGAATGATAAGCTTCGATTTGATAAATTTAGCTAAGTTTTAACTATTGTACAGGGCATATAAAAGGTTCTCTGCCATTGCATCCTGGGAGAACAGCAAGAAAGCATTGGTAGATGTGCAACTGAAAAAATATGAGGTAATAAACTCTATAATTGGAAGTCTCATATGGATATATCACATTGCTTTCTGTAGCTTGGAACCGCACTGTGGTCTTTTTATTTTTCACTCTGTTATACATTATTTCAGTACACAGAATTGCTAGTATGGTGTCATTCCTGTTAGTATATATCGTGTCGATAACATTCTGAGTGATTGTGTTTTCATCAACCTGTGTTTATAACAGGAAAAAATGGAAAGGAAGAAAGCAGAATATGCAGAGAGAATGAAAAATAAAATTTCGGAGATCCATAAGGCAGCTGAAGAGAAGAGAGCAATGATTGAAGCAAGACGAGGTGAAGATGTTTTTAAGGTAGAGGAGACTGCAGAAAAATTCCTTGCAGCTGGTTATACACCTTGGAAGTTCCTTGGCTGCTTTAGTGCTTAAAGATGTTTCAGCAAAAAAAAAAAAAAAAAAAAAATTATCAGGATTTTGTTTCCTTTTATTTTTCAAACTTATTTGATAATCGATTGTATTGTGTGCTAAGATAGTGATGTTTTCTTTGAAGTGTCCTTTGTTGTGGCAGAATTTGTGCTATTTGGAAGAAAAAAAAGGTTCCTTTTTTTTCTGTATTGTAGTAGTGAGAAATCGTTGGTCTGTGGGTGATTGATCCGAACTTAACGCCGACCTTTTGGTGTGATTATACACAAAGAAGATCATATATTTATAAATAAAAAACTTATACACAATTACAAATCCCAACATAGATACAATGAAAACTCCCCACAGTAAATCAGCAGAAGCCTCCTTATTCATCATCAAAGCACAAACGAAAAAGAAAAAAGGAAAATTCAAATAACATATGTTGCTGGCCACGGTCATAGCCAAATTAAGAATTTAAAATCCTTTTAAAATTTAATTCTCCTCTGCCTCTTCCTCATACTCTTCTTCATCCACTGCAACAGCATCTTGATATTGCTGATACTCTGATACCAAATCATTCATATTACTCTCAGCCTCGGTAAACTCCATTTCATCCATCCCCTCTCCTGTGTACCAATGCAAAAATGCCTTTCTCCTAAACATGACTGTAAATTGCTCCGAAACACGCCTGAACATTTCTTGAATAGATGTAGAATTCCCCATAAATGTTGATGACATAGACAACCCAGTTGGTGGAATATCACAAACACTTGATTTAACATTATTGGGGATCCACTCAACAAAATATGAGGAATTTTTATTCTGTACATTGATCATTTGTTCATCAACTTCCTTAGTGCTCATTTTGCCTCGGAACATTGCTGAGGCAGTTAAATACCTTCCATGTCGAGGGTCAGCAGCACACATCATATTTTTAGCATCCCACATTTGTTGAGTAAGTTCAGGAATTGTTAAGGCACGGTACTGTTGTGACCCACGAGAGGTTAAGGGTGCAAAACCAACCATGAAAAAGTGCAGGCGAGGGAATGGTATTAAATTTACAGCTAATTTTCGAAGATCCGAGTTGAGTTGACCAGGGAAGCGAAGGCAGCATGTCACTCCACTCATTGTTGTTGAGATCAAATGGTTCAAGTCACCAACTACACAATAAATAATATGGTCATTAATTTCGTTCAAAGGGGCATATGCTTTAGAAAGGAGAAAAAATGTGAATGAAAGACTCAAAAAATGAACTTACAACTGGGATTTGTGAGCTTGAGAGTTCGGAAGCAGATGTCATAGAGTGCTTCATTGTCAAGAACCATACACTCATCAGCATTTTCAACTAGCTGGTGTACAGAGAGAGTGGCATTGTAAGGTTCAACCACAGTATCAGAGACTTTAGGTGAGGGGAAAACTGAAAAAGTCAACATCATTCGATCAGGATATTCTTCTCTGATCTTTGATATCAGTAAGGTTCCCATTCCTGATCCAGTCCCACCTCCAAGTGAATGGCAGATCTGAAAGCCTATCAAATAAAACATCAATGAAAGATAAAGTAAGTAACTTTAGTATGAACACAACCATTTAATTGTAGACTTAAAAATGGCAACATGGAAAAAATAACTTGCCCTGTAAGCAATCACAATTCTCAGCCTCCTTACGAACTACATCGAGAACTGAATCGATCAATTCAGCTCCCTCGGTGTAATGCCCCTTAGCCCAATTGTTTCCAGCACCATTTTGACCAAAAACAAAGTTATCAGGTCTAAATATTTGACCATAAGGTCCTGTACGTAAGCTGTCCATGGTGCCTGGTTCAAGATCCATTAACACAGCTCTGGGGACATAACGCCCACCACTTGCTTCATTGTAGTAAACATTAACCCTCTCAAGTTGAACATGAGAATCGCCAATGTAATTTCCAGTGGCATCAATGCCATGTTCATCACACACAACTTCCCAAAACTTGCCACCGATTTGGTTACCACATTGACCAGCTTGAATGTGGAGAATTTCTCTCATTTTGGTACAGGATACTGATTAAAACTGAAACTGGGTAGTTTTAAAAAATTAAGAGTGAATGAGAGTATGTGAACTAAATTAAGGTGAAGATATATATAAATACTAGAGCAGGAAGATGAGATGGAAGGTGTTAGGAGGATGGAATTGAAGATGTGACATTGATGATTTAATTTCGGGTAGAAAAGAAAGAAATATGAATAAATAATATATTGTGTCTTTGTCAGGAGGAAGACACGTCAAAGTCCAACAAGAGTTGTGAGCTGGATATGAATTGAAACAACCGAGCTGCATGCTACTTTCTTTGGTCTTATTCTATCTTAAACGACCAACCTCTCCATCCTCTAATATGATTTCCCATCTGTCATTACCATTCCAAAAATGCCCACTTCATTATTTGCTTTCCACTACATTATGATTTGGTTGGACTAAAACTATATATACATTCATTGAAACTGAAGTTAAAGAAACTTCAGTCAATCATGGTTTTGGTTCCCTAACATGAACATTGTGAAGGAGTTTTTATTTTATTATAAAAAATTTATATACACTGATTCAAAGAAACTTTGTAGTGATTGTAATTATCTTTGGACAATATTGTCAAAAACAATAAAGATAGGCTGGCAAAAATTTTTCACTAACTTTCTCTCACAAAGACGACGTAACAGCTCATAATTGGTCAGACGGGATCCACTGTTAGACAGGTGAGACCTATTGTGAGTTAACCACTTGCAAGTTGTCACGTCGCGTAAGAGAGAGTTAATGAAAAGGGTTTGTGAGCATAGTATTACCCAACTGATAAAATAACATTTAAAAAAAAAAAAAAAAGATATATGAGTTGACGCAGACAAAGTAGTTATAGCATATAAATCAATAGAAGATTTGCTTGTATATTTTACGGATCAAATTAGGTGGCTTATATATATTAAGATAAGATTCAATTATTGAAGGCATGAGAGTTCCTGTCAGTCTGTCTTCAGAATAAGTAATGTTTTTGGCACTCTCTTTACAGCACCTGGACAAGGACCCGTTGGCTACCTGTGGGAATCCAATGTCAAATGTTAACGGAATTTCACAACATTAGAATCCAAGTTTTCAAAAGCACTTCTGCATTCTGTGTTACTGCTTATTGCTTATTACTTTAACCCCATCTGCACCCCTGCATGAGAAAGAGCCAGTTTAACCAACTCTCATCAGTACAAATGCTCTAAATTAGTAATGGTAAGTAATAGAGAGATTTGGAAAAGGTGGAATGAGATGAGAGTGGGATATCAATTAAAAGATGTGTTTAGCTCGAGCATTGTTTTCATGTCAATCAAAGGGGCCGATAGGTATGGCCGAGTGATGTTAGATTGTTAGGTTGTCTCCTCCACAGCAACCACACACCTGTTAATTTCTTCCACAACTTGCACTTAACTCTATTATGTAACATGAAATGCTAATGATCTGATGGGGGCACCAACATGGGAAGAAACGCATCAAAAAAGTTGAAACTCACATGGGCTACAGCCATTTGAGAAGTAAACATAACCTAGGAAATCAATAAATTTCAGAGATGAAGAAAAGCCTCTAAGCATACAATCATATGCTAAGTCTTTGAACAACAAGAATCATGCAAGTGACAATAATGTATTGTAATCAAATTAAAAACAACCTTATTACAAGTACAACTTCATAAGTTCATCTTACATTTGTGATGGATTCTTCACTAACTTTCACTTGTCTGCAACAGAGTTCAACAAAGGTTTGATCTGGTTAGATTCGATGAGAGTTACATGGGGACCCTCATGCAAGAATTTACAACACCCTTTATTCCTACGACTGTAAATTGAAAACAGTTCGGAAGAAACAGAAGGATTAGACCAAAATTCAACCAAGGATAACAAATAGGTCACCATTAAAATGGCAGAAAACTTATTCTATTTTAATAGAGCAGCTCCTCAAAAACAGGATCCACAGACTGTCCCCACTTCCCATGGTACATCTCCAAAAGTTTCTCAGCCGGTGTTACACCTGTCATAAAGTTAATCTTCCATCATTTACAAATCAAAATGTATCAAAACTATAAACATAAAGCTTTTGAGTTTTGCTGCATGATAAATTGTGTAAATGCCTCACAAACTCAAGAGGAAAACAAACACAAAAGACATAATTCATATGTATGCAACAAGTCATGTTTTGTGCATGATTAGCACATTACATATCTTACACAAAAAGTAATCCAAAACCCTGATTAATTTGCATAAAATTCAACCTCCGACCTAAACTGTACATGCACACCAAGGAGAAAAAAATAACTCAGTATATAAAATATAAGCTTTAGATCATTCACCTGTTCTAACAACCTCAGCCACCTCATTCAAGAACCCTGATTCTTTATACCCTCTTCTTTCCAAACCATCCTGCAGAAGAAAAAATGTTTGCATTGAACATCATCAACAAAATAAACTTTTAAGTAGCAGCACAACAATGTCAAGTTACCTTCGCCAACTTCAAGACATCTTCAGCAACATGCCTCAGCAAACCATCTCGAAATGGAGTCTTAAGACCAGTTTTTGGGACCTATTACATAGATTACAAAAATTAGATTTGTTATCTTGACCATAGCAGAAAGATACACCTAGGCAGCACCTCAATGTTACATGCTATATAATGTAGGACATGAATTATTTTGCAATTCAAACTATAGATGATCATTTTGTCATATTATACTAACTCCAGAAGAAAGAGAAATAACCAAATGTATAACCCTGCCAAAGTTACACTGATGCTATCCAATGTTTAATTTTAAACATTGACACATCATGTTATCATATTAAGTTCACAAGCAGAAAGCAAATAACTGAAGACTTTAGATCAGAAAATATTTCAAATTTAAGTTACTAAAATTACCAATCTAGGGACCAATCTGAAAAGAATTAAGTCATCAACAATTTTGCAAGAATAAAAGCACCATAAAATCTACTGATTTTCTTTATCAAGAAAATGTACGCAGTTTTTCTGCACATGTATAAGTGTTAACATTACCTTATTCCTCAGCATTAATCTTTCTTCCGCGGTCCAATCAGCTGTCATATCTAGAACATTTTGAAGTGAGACCTCATCGTATAACAAACCTACCTGGCATTAGAAAGAAAATGAAAATGAGCAAATTTTGCTCCAAAGGGGCTTATGTAATCTGCACAAGCCAGAGAAAAAGCATCTAATACTTCAGATAGAAGGTCACAAACTATTGGATAGAGGCCATTGCAAATGAGTCACAGAATTGATAAAAAAACAAGGTCATGTTAAGTGAGTTTTATCATAAAGACTTTGTATATGAATCAAGAATATGTAGCTAAGATTCAAGGCCACATATACAAGCATCTGTTAGAAACAGAAAGATAACAGAAAGATCATATAACATTATGCAAAATGACAAGAATAAGCATATAACAAACAACTAAGAGAATACATCTTATAATTGATTTGAAGTATCAACATGTTTCCAACTAATGTTGAATTAACCCCAAGTATCTTTTCAAGTCTCCCATCCTTCCTACTTTAGAGCATTTTCAAAGTCTATAGTGTTACTAGAACACCAATGTTGATCCCATTCAGATGATTTCTACTGAATCATGCACTGTAGAGTAGTTATGCATAATAAATTAGAAGGGCCAATTACCCAAAATGCTGGCAAAGCACATAACCTCCTCCAAGGCCCTCCATCAGCACCTCTCATCTCCAAGTATCTCTTGAGCCTAACCTGAAAGTAAAGAGTACCATATGGTTTAAATTAGGAAGAAGAACTGGGAGAAGAATTTTAATAAATTGATCACAAACGCATGCAATAAACCTCTGGAAATATTGTTGTCAGATGATTCTCCCAATCATTAAGAGTTGGCAATTCACCAGGAAGACATGGAAGTTTTCCAGCCAAAAAGTCCTGCAAAATGACTAGTGTTATTGTTCAAAGAACCAATAGCCTGAGATAGAATGTCAAGACAGGATTAACTCAAAGGATGACATAAAAGGTCAGGATAAAGAAGTTGATGGAGCAAAAAGAATGGCTATAGAAGAAGCCTTAGATTACAAAAGTATTAAAGATAGATGGAAACCCGGAATGACATCCCCGCACAATCAATATACTTCTTTTTGCGAAAAACAAAATACATTGGAACATCAAGAGCATAGTCAACATACTGCTCAAACCTGTGCCAGAGGAAATAGAATACTATTGTTAAAATATGATGCTGGACTTAATAATGAAAAACTACCTTCCAGACATATCACAAAAAAAATTTCCAAGTTTTCTCTACACATAACAAAAGCTGAACGCACCCAAAGGAGCCATCAAAAACAAAGGGAAGCATGCCAGCCCGATTGTTATCAGTATCTGTCCAAATATGGCTGTTCAAAAAAAGAATAGTTAGTATGAAGCATGTTGTAAAAGATATAAGAACATGAAGAAAAGACTAAGGTCACATCTAAACACCTTCTCTTGCTGAGATAACCATTTGGCTTTCCTTCAGTAAATGGTGAATTCGCAAATAGAGCTGTTGCTATCTGTTTCAATTTCTACACCCATTAGATGCCTCATAAATAGAGAAAACTCCAATAAAAACAAAAGGTAGTGAGTTTCTCACAGGCTGCAAAGCAAGACCAGCACGAAATTTGCGGATCATGTCAGCCTCTGAACTGAAGTCCAGATTAACCTATAACAAATAAAATTACTTATGCATCAGCACAGTTCTGAATTTCAAAGAATCATCTTCTCACCAAGTCAAGGTGATACTAATTAAACAGGTCCGTACCATTAAGAACTGCAAGTTTCAACTCACCTGAACAGTACATGTCCTAAACATCATATCAAGCCCAAGTGAGCCCACTTTAGGCATGTAATTCCTCATTATCTCATATCTTCCCTGAGCCAAAATACCATGTCATTGCGAAGTAGTGAAGGCCCCCAAAAGAATGAAATAATAATAGATACGTAGAACTGATAAAATGCCAAGTTTTGCAGAGGCAAGCAACACAATAGTTACAGTTAATAAGTATCTTGGGCAAATTCGGGAAGGAAATTATTATAACAGAGTTCAACTACTATAATTATGATTAGAAATTGAACATGTGGACTCTGAAACTTCCACCATTAATACAAAACCATTGAATATTAATCTATACAACAGCAACTAAGTAAACATTAAAAGAAAGTGATGAATACTCTGTTTAGTTCAAGAAACAATACAGCAACATAATCAACTAACCCTTGTAAATAATAAAATCAATTAATAAAAAAGCTAAGAGGTTTTATGGGCTTACTACACGGACACGCAAGCACTAGTGTATTACCACTTTGCAACCAATCTAAATAGTGAAAAGAGAGATGATCAGTACCTTTGGCATAACAGGTATATCTTTAAGTCCCCATTTGGGCTGAAAACCAATTCCTACAAACCCAATTCCCATTTCCTCCGCAACAGCTTTCACCTGTTACAAAGCACACAAAGTTTAACATCCAGCATATATTATCCATGGATCTAAAAAGAAAGAAAGAAAAAAAAAAAGGAAAATGCTCTGAATTCGCATATTGTGCTTCATTCTAGCAGAGATCATAGTTGATTAACAGAATTCAACGAAAAGAACCAAGACAATGCAAAAACACCACCACCAAATAACACTATATAATATACATTTAAATCTTTATTTGTTGTGATGATAAGAACTTAAAATCCTTTTAAAATTTAATTCTCCTCTGCTCTTCCTCATACTTCTTCATCCAGCAACAGCATCTTGATATTGCTGATACTCTGATACAAATCATTATATATCTCAGCCTCGGTAAACTCCATTTCATCATCCCCTTCCTGTGTACCAATGCAAAAGGCCTTTCTCCTAAACATGACTGTAAATTGCTCCGAAACACGCCTGAACATTTCTTGAATAGATGTAGAATCCCCATAAATGTTGATGACATAGACAACCCAGTTGGTGGAATATCACAAAACTTGATTTAACATTATTGGGGATCCACTAACAAATATGAGGAATTTTTATTCTGTACATTGATCATTTGTTCATCAACTTAGTGCTCATTTTGCCTCGGAACATTGCTGAGGCAGTTAATACCTTCCAGTCGAGGGTCAGCAGCACACATCATATTTTTAGCATCCCACATTTGTTGAGTAAGTTCAGGAATTGTTAAGGCCGGTACTGTGTGACCCACGAGAGGTTAAGGGTGCAAACCAACCATGAAAAAGTGCAGGCGAGGGAATGGTATTAAATTTACAGCTAATTTTCGAAGATCCGAGTTGAGTTGACCAGGGAAGCGAAGGCAGCATGTCACTCCACTCATTGTTGTTGAGATCAAATGGTTCAAGTCACCAACTACACAATAAATAATATGGTCATTAATTTCGTTCAAAGGGGCATATGCTTAGAAAGGAGAAAAAATGTGAATGAAGACTCAAAAAATGAACTTACAACTGGGATTTGTGAGTTGAGAGTTCGAAACAGATGTCATAGAGTGCTTCATTGTCAAGAACCATACACTCATCAGCATTTTCAACTAGCGGTGTACAGAGAGAGTGGCATTGTAAGGTTCACCACAGTATCAGAGACTTTAGGTGAGGGGAAGACTGAAAAAGTCAACATCATTCGATCAGGATATTCTTCTCTGATCTTTGATATCAGTAAGGTTCCCATTCCTGATCCAGTCCCACCTCCAAGGAATGGCAGATCTGAAAGCCTATCAAAAAAACATCAATGAAAGATAAAGTAAGTAACTTTAGTATGAAACAACCATTTAATTGTAGACTTAAAAATGGACAATGGAAAAATAACTTGCCCTGTAAGCAATCACATTCTCAGCCTCCTTACGAACTACATCGAGAACTGAATCGATCAATTCAGCTCCCTCGGTGTAATGCCCCTTAGCCCAATTGTTTCCAGCACCATTTTGACAAAAACAAAGTATCAGGTCTAAATATTTGACCATAAGGTCCTGTACGTAGCTGTCCATGGTGCCTGGTTCAAGATCCATTAACACAGCTCTGGGGACATAACGCCCACCACTTGCTTCATTGTAGTAAACATTAACCCTCTCAAGTTGAACATGAGAATCGCCAATGTAATTTCCAGTGGCATCAATGCCATGTTCATCACACACAACTTCCCAAAACTTGCCACCGATTTGGTTACCACATTGACCAGCTTGAATGTGGAGAATTTCTCTCATTTGGTACAGGATACTGATTAAACTGAAACGGGTAGTTTTAAAAATTAGAGTGAATGAGGTATGTGAACAAATTAAGGTGAAGATATATATAAATACTAGAGAAGGAAGATGAGATGGAAGGTGTTGGAGGATGAAATTGAAGATGTGACATTGATGTTTATTTCGGTGAAAAGAAGAAATTGAAAAATAATATATTTGTGTCTTTGTCAGGAGGAAGACACGTCAAAGTCCACAAGAGTTGTGAGCGGATATGAATTGAACAACCGAGCTGCATGCTACTTTCTTTGGTCTTATTCTATCTTAAACGACCAACCTCTCCATCCTCTAATGTGATCCCACTGTCATTACCATTCCAAAAATGCCCACTTCATTATTTGCTTTCCACTACATTATGATTTGGTGGACTAAAAATATATACATTCATTGAAACTGAAGTTAAAGAAACTTCAGTCAATCATGGTTTGGTTCCCAACATGAACATTGTGAGGAGTTTTTATTTTATTATAACAAATTTTTATACACTGATTCAAAGAAACTTTGTAGTGATTGGTAATTATCTTTGGACATATGTCAAATGATAACAATAAAGATAGGTCGACAAACATTTCTCACTAACTTTCTCTCACAAAGACGACGTGACAGCTCACAATTGGTCAGACGGGATCCACTATGGACAGAGAGACCTATTGTGAGTTGACCAATTGCAAGCTGTCACGTTGCGTGTGTGAGAGAGAGTTAATGAAAAGGGTTTGTGAGCATAGTACAGTAAAACCTCTCTATAGTCATAATGGTGGGACTAACTAATTTTATTATATGAGGGTTAAACTTAATGAGGTGTAGTTAAAAAAAAATTCTATTTCAAATTCATGTTTTAATAGTAACATATTAGAATTTCAATCAGTTTTAATAATATTAGGGTTTCCATTCAGCGCTTCAATTGCTTACTTTTGAAACGGATAGAAGATCGTATTTTGAAACCAACAAAAATAATGTCCTTGATAGAATTGTAAATGCAGTTGCTACATGACAACTGATGTAAGTCACAGAGAATTGTCAATTGTTTAAGCTTACAAAATTAGGACCCTGATGTTGACGAATTGCAAGTTATAAATGAAGTGAAGAGAGAATCGAAGAGTCGTTATAGAATAGAATGATCAGATTCGAAAACTTCACTACACTAATCGAATGAATAATAATGTCTTCCTTAATCATCTAAATAAGAACAAGTCATTATTGCTTTAACAAAAAAAAAGAAACATTCTACGATTAAACAAGAAGAGAAAAGAAATAATTATGAAGATGATAGTATGAAAATACAAAAAGTTCATGTCAAGAAGCTCTAAACATGTTGAGAAGCTAGAAATGTTTTGACTTTAACAAGAAAATGTACATGCTAGCAAGTATGTACCCACACAGTTAAAAGATTTGAAATAACTCTAAAACATAAATATGTCTCAAACAACTTCAAATAAATAATTTTTTTCATCTTAAACCTAATGTAATATATCATATATTTTTTTGCAATATAAAGATAATTATTACTATATAGAGGCAACTTTCCTTAAGACGGGAATTAGAAAAATTATAACTTATTACAATGGAGTTTATCTTATTTTAACTATCCTAAATTGGGAATATAATTTTTAGACTAGTAGAGTTTATTCTATTAAAGTATCACTATAAAAGGTTTTACTGTTAACCCACTGATAAAATAGCATTTAAATAATATATATATATGAGTTGACGCAAACGAGGGTTATAGCATATAAATCAAATGAAGATTGCTGTATATTTTACGATCAAATTAGGTGGCATATATATTAAGATAAGATTCAATTATTGAAGGCATGAGGTTCCTGTCAGTCTGTCTTCAGAATAAGTATGTTTTTGGCACTCTCTTTACAGCACCTGGACAAGGACCAGTTGGCTACTTGTGGGAATCCAATGTCAAATGTAACGGAATTCAACAGTTTAACATTAGAATCCAAGTTTTCAAAAGCACTTCTGCATTCTGTGTACTGCTTATGCTTGTTACTTTAACCCATCTGCAACCCTGCATGAGAAAGAGCCAGTTTAAACAAATCCATCAGTACAAATGCTCTAAATTAGTAATGGTAAGTAATAGAGAGATTTGGAAAAGGTGGAATGAGATGAGAGTGGGATATCAATTAAAAGATGTGTTTAGCTGAGCATTGTTTTCATGTCAATCAAAGGGGCCGATAGGTATGGCCGAGTGAGTTAGATTGTTAGGTTGTCTCCTCCACAGCAACCAACACCTGTTAATTTCTTCCACAACTTGCACTTAACTCTATTATGTAACATGAAATGCTAATGATCTGATGGGGGCACCAACAGGGGAAGAAGCGCATCAAAAAAGTTGAAACTCACAGGGCTATAGCCATTTGAGAAGTAAACCTAACCTAGGAAATCAATAAATTTCAGAGATGAAGAAAAAGCCTCTAGCTAAGCTAAATCAATGCTAAGTTTGAACAACAAGAATCATGCAAGTGACAATAATGTATGTAATCAAATTAACAACCTTATTACAAGTACAACTTCATAAGTTCATCTTACATTTGTGATGGATCTCACTAACTTTCACTTTTCTGCAACAGAGTTCAACAAAGGTTTGATCTGGTTAGATTCGATGAGAGTTACATGGGGACCCTCATGCAAGAATTTACAACACCCTTTATTCCTACGACTGTAAATTGAAAACAGTTCGGAAGAAACAGAAGGATAGACCAAAATTAACCAGGATAACAAATAGGTCACCATTAAAATGGCAGAAAACTTTTCTATTTAATAGAGCAGCTCCTCAAAAAAAGGACCACAGACTGTCCCCACCTTCCATGGTACATCTCAAAAGTTTCTCAGCCGGGGTTACACCTGATAAAGTTAATCTTCCATCATTTACAAATCAAAATGTATCAAAACTATAAACATAAAGCTTTTGAGTTTTGCTGCATGATAAATGTGTAAATGCCTCACAAACTCAAGAGGGAAAACAACACACAAGACATAATTCATATGTATGCACAAGTCATGTTGTGCATGATTAGCACATTACATATCTTACACAAAAAGTAATCCAAAACCCTGATTAATTTGCATAAAATTCAACCTCCAACTAAACTGTATATGCACACCAAGGAGAGAAAAATAACTCAGTATAAAATATAAGCTTTAGATCATTCACCTGTCTAACAACCCTCAGCACCTCATTCAAGAACCCTGATTCTTTATACCCTCTTCTTTCCAAACCATCCTGCAGAAGAAAAAATGTTTGCATT